CTTCAGGATGTTAACCTGAACGAAATACATGTTGAAATGTGTGCATAAGTCCTTTTGTTTAGGTGTGACACTCATTTATTGTTTGGTTGGTGTCTTATATGAAACTGCGACACTGCGCAATTTATTGGACAGACTTGTTTAAGATCACACAGCGTAATTTGGGTGGCATTTTATTTCGTATTTTTAAATCATCTTTTTATTTTTGACTATCTGTAAATTTAGTTTCCTGCTCTTAATTGTGAATGCATACTTGATGGTTTTAAATGCTCCTGAAATTAAGTGCTGCTTGACGAGCCTATATTGTGTATGTATGTGACGTCACTGAAGGCCTAAGGTTGAAATGCACGGCCCGCCACTGATTACCGGTAAGTGCATTTTGTGCTTCTGAGCAAGTGGTTTCATCAAGTATACTAGCACAAGTATGCACAAACAGGTTTTTTTTTTTGGGGGGGGGATTAGACATATAACATGCATGATTACATTTTAATAGGGTGATTCTCTCTCTCTCTCTCTCTCTCTCTCATGTAATCGCCCAGCCCTACTGGTATTGCTCTTCAGAAAGTAATCGACGGAGTGGGGAGTGGTGTGAGATATCTATTTCTCTCTCTCTCTCTCTCTCTCTCTCTCTCTCTCTCTCTCTCTCTCTCTCTCTCTCTCTTCCTCTATTCTTAGTTCTGTATTATTTTAAAGAGTGTAACAAGAATATTAGACTGGGGTGGCTCTGGCCAAAATAGACATGTCTGTTGATACACTCCATGCTACAAAATAAGACCTCCGCTATGTCTTAAATTACACACACAAGAAACATAAACAACTCTGAGCGCAAACTTCGACCAAGGCATCTCAATTTCTGCATAATACTCACTATGACCTAATAAACAGCAGTTGTTGCAAAAATATGATCTCCACGTTTTTGCAAAAGGGTAACACAAATCCTGATCAAAGAGTGGGCTAAAAGTAGTTCAACACTTTACTACTGGTTTCTATAATGTTAAGTCCTCGTAGTGATATCAAGCACAGATTAGAGTTTCAAACTGTGGTTTGAAAAGTGGTGGAGCTTCAAAAGTGGTTTTATGGAAGGTTAGTGTTTCAAAGTAACATTCGAAGACAGGATGAGAGTTTCAAAGTAATGTTTTATCATAGGGGTTGAAGACAGGGTTCAGATTTCAATTTCGAATTTCTTGCCTGAGGTAAGGTTTGAAGTTTGGGCTTCAAATCATACTTTAAATTTTGTGTGAGGATTTGTGTGCATGTTGCTCTGGTGCAGGCCATTCTTTCCTTCAGTGTTGAGTCCTTTTTTGCTTTGTTCATTCGTTCGTTCGTTAACTTTCTTCTTCCTAACTTACTCAAACAACATACAGAGCAAAAAAATGTGGGGGGTGGGGGAGGGTGCAGTAGGCAGGGCACACCTTGAACTGGTTGCCAGCGAATCGCAGGGCGCTCAGACTCACACCCACACCTAGGGACAACTTAGAGTGTTCTATTAACCTGCCATGCATGTTTTTGGAATGTGGGAGAAAACCTGAGTACCCGGAGAAAACCCGCACAGGCACGCGGAGAACATGCAAATTCCACACAAGAAGGCCGAAGCAGGAATCGAACCCTACTCCTCTGCACTGCGAGACTGACATGCTAACCAGTCGTCCATAACCTACAGCACCTGTGTCAAACTCAAGCCCCGGGGGCCAGATCCAGCCCACCAGGTCATTTTATGTGGCTCGCAAAAGCAAATCATGTGTGTCAACTTGCTAAAATCTGTACCAAAATGTCAAATTGTCATGTGTTTAGTCATACCGTTGAGATTTTGCAATCATTTTGTTACCCTGTTTACTCTCACTTGAACAAAATATTTTAATTGACTTGACTGATTTCAAAACAAGTAATCTATTAATTTGTTGTGTAAAAATAATAATGTTGTGGTTTCACTGTCATAACGGCCCTCTGAGGGAAGACGTAACTCCAAATTGGCCCGCGTCTAAAATGAGTTCGACTAAAATGAGTTCGACACCCCTGACCGAAAGTGTCAGTCAATTTGATTCCTTTGATGATGTAGTTTACACTCTAGTCAACAGGTGGCGGTAATGAAAGTTTAAGATAGCCAAAGAGGGTCACGGTGTGACGCGTCACGTGATTATCCAGCAAGAAGGGAGGGGGGCAAACATGGCCGACGAGTTGGCGGGAGTAAACACAACTGCAGAGGATGGCGAAGCAAAACAAGAACAAGAGCTCGCCCAACTTTCAAACACGGACACAGACTCAAACGCCTGCGACAATCACACTCCCGACCGGGATGAGAGGTCGCCGTCGGATAGCAGCTGGTCGGCTCCGCTTCTGTCGCTGGCTCGCAAGGCCACAGAGACGCTCAGTAGCGGGGTGAGCTACGCTTCTGGACGGATGAACTCCGCTGAGAACCCCGAGGCGGAAAAAGAGCCCGAAATTGATCTAACCCCCACTGGAAAGAAGCTTCCAGGTAGGTGGGATTGAATACGGACACCCTCAGCCGAAATCGACACTTCCTCTTGGACTTTTACTGAGCTGTCAGATGTCAAGACACATGACTTCCAAAGAGAAAATCTAAATTTTATGGCTCTGTCGTCATAAGGAATTCCTTTGATATCTGTTACTTTCTCTGACGTCTGGTGTGTTTTCTACGGACAACCATTTGAGCAAATGTTTGATATGTATGGGTGCGCTCTTGGTCCTCATCAGTAGTAGGACAGTGTTTTACGAATAATGCATTTTCCCTATACCTAACGACATTGCTGTACAGAAGTAAAAACCCTTAAGTCATTACAATAAATAAATTGTATTAGATATACTATTATTATCATTATTATTATGAATACCTAATGTCCTAGGTAATGAATGAGGGCAGATTTGGAATCAGCACATTTACTTGCATCTCTGATTTCAACATTTTGCAAAAAAATATTGATCAGTGGTATTTTTCAAAATCGTTCAGACTTTCCTACTTGTGTGGCAAAGTTGTCCAATTAGTGTGCATAAATGTTTTACTTTACTGTGGTAACTAGGAAACGGTCCTTTTACAGAATTGTCTTACTAGTGAGGCCGAAGTAGCAGTTCGTAAACCTTAGGCTGGGTAGCAAGATATCAAACAAATGTTCTAACAGCTTCTTATAGAAAGTGGCGCTCAGAGATCAGCTTTCCACGGAAGTTATATCGGTGTGTTTCAAATGCTTGTGCTTCCTGTTAAAAAATCAGTGCTGCCTGCCAAAGACCCGATGGCAATTGAAAGATCCAATCTTCTCAGCATGTTGAAGCTCAGCATCAAGGTTTTAATCCAGTCCTCACTGAGTTTGGGCAGGACACTGGACTCCGAGTACCCGCCCTTGCAGCAGTTCTTCTTAGTACTGGAGCACTGCCTCAAACATGGGCTAAAAGGTAACTAACTGCTTGGTAAACATGAACTGCAATGGAGTTTTGTGTGTGTGTGTGTGTGTGTGTGTGTGTGTGTGTAACACGAATTCAAAGTCACATGGTCTTTTTTTTTTTCCCAAGCCAAGAAGTCCTTCATCGGTCAAAACAAATCCATTTGGGGACCCTTGGAGCTGACTGCTCGGTTGTGTCCAGATTCTGCCAACATAGCCACAAGTGCCAGAGACCTGCCCGGCATCAAGTAAGGTTTGACCACTTATTTTGGCAGATGGGCAGGCGCTATAAAAAATGAATTTTACATTGCTTTTAAATTGCCAGTTTTTAAACATTGGTACTGACAGCAAAAATATTGAGTTATTCAACATTTTATTTACATAAAACATTTATTTCTTCATTTTTCAAACATTTATTCAACAGTACAACAAATGTAGAACGATATAAAATAACTCGGTGAGCTACTAGAAATTAACTCCTCGGGAATGACAAATATGCCTTAAAAAGTAAACATAACGAGTTTTAAATTATGATCCTATGTACGCATTAGTGTCATCGCTACTTGCAAATATGCATGATCAAAAGATGACACGATAGATTCTTGCTTATTTCCGCTGGCAGGTTATTAGCGGCTAAACTGCTCATATTTATCTGGGCAGGCTGTGCATATTCTGCTCGCATTTTCATGCTTTCCACCTCATCATTTGGATGCTACTTGTTCAAATGATTTGAGGGGTTTGTTGTATTGCCTTGTTTGTGGTGGCTCTGGAGATGCCACCACAAAAGCTATGGTGGGAACTTCTCTTGTCACAATAGCTTCATCTTCCAAAGATTATGCCAAGTCATGGCTGCCTATCAGCTGCGCGTTCAGCTGCGCGTTCAGCTGCATGTTCGGTCATTGTTACGGTTACTTTCTGTTTACTGCTTCTTCTTTAATCATTAATTAGCAGATTAATTTCCGATCAGCATTCACTTTCACTGACATCAATTTCTTGTATAATGTCTTATATTTTGCTTCCTCCGTCTTTTATTTTGATCACTTTTACACTCTGTTCCAGCGTCAGAGCTCTTCTTGTCTTAGCTGCTTGGCATCCAGAGGTCCGTTTTGTAGCCATTTTAGCAATGCAACGAAATACTTCCTGGACTACTGCGCATGTGTAAGCCAGTGTGGTGGTTGCTGTTGCAGTTTCGGAGCGAAGCAGTAGGAGTCGCTGTTGGCTGAGGTTGGATTAGACTTTTGCGGGAGGCTCGTTTTCGTTATAGTGCATCTCGTTGCGTGGCAAGAGTAGAGAAAAAGATTTCATATAACGGAACAGTGGGATTTTTCGTTGTAGGGGAGCAGAAAAATGGGAATGGCTTTCATGCATGAAAATTTTTTCACACTATGGGGTATTTTCACCCATGTAGGTTTCGTTGTAGAGGAGTTTCACTGTACTTCAACTTGTAAACCGAAGTTAAAAGGAAAAGCCGGACTCTGGGTTGGCTGCAGTCGCACGCATTTCACCCTGTCTCATGGAGTAAATATACTCACAGTTCACTGCTGATCATGTTACAACATGATTCTCAAATAGTTCTCATATACATGTAATCGCCCAGTCCTAGTGGGGAGTGGTGTGAGATATCTATTTCTCTCTCTCTCTCTCTCTCTCTCTCTCCCTCTCTCTCTCTCTATTGGCTTTCGGGTGAAATTGATGGAAAATGTAAACAGTTCACGTTACAGTGATATATCATGAAAGTGTGACATTTAAGTAGAAGGATGCACTGCTGATGACACGCTGTGACACTTTAAACTCAGTGGGCACTTCTGTCTGAGAATGTCCTGTTTTAAGCGCCACACTGGCAAGGTACTGTTGATCCATTGCTCGGTGTCGTCTGGGTCTCATGTTAACAAAATGTAAACAGCTTAATCAGGACGACTGTTTGAATGTCAGCTCTAATTGAACCAGGACATTTTTATTGGTCGATTCAAGGATAAAACACCTGTTGTGAATTTTGCTGTTAAGCTCCTCGTTGGACAATGGCAACTTGTGCAAAAAGTACTGAAACATTAACAGTGGGCCATGTGCATTCATAAGCTTAGAGAAGGTCACATTAAGTTCTCCTTTAACTCATTCACTCCCAAAGACGTTTTTAAACGTCTTTTCTGACTTGGTCTAGAAATGGCTGGTACTGAATGAGTTAAAGGTTTGAGTGCATTTTAGGCTCGTCCTGAAAAACCAAATATCCCTAACTTTTTGTGAGTAATGTCGATATATTGTTCTGTCTCTGCAGCCTCGTACCAGTTTTTGGGGACTTCTGTTGTAATACAATGGTGGGCAAAGCCACATGGCCCACCAAGCATGAATTTTTTTTCTACTTTTTTTTTTGTTTGTTTTTTTGCCTAAAATTAGCTCATGGAAATGTATTTATTCATTTGTATTGATTTATCTAATCAAATAATGTGTTTAATTGTTTATTGTAGACAACTAATGAAAATGTAAAAATAAACAATTAAAAATATTTGAATAAATTAACAATTTGAGAAAAAATTGCCAAAATATTGGTAAAACAGACTTTACAATTTCTTCTGTTCTTAAATATTTGGTGAATTAATTTTGAATATTTGAATAATTAGCAATACAATTTAAAAATGGTCACACATTCTTTTACTTATTTTACTTTTTTCTAATAAGCTGGCTCATCTATCCTTTTAAAAAGCTCAAAAGTTTGCCAAGATCAACCCCACTCTTAATTTTCTACAGATGGGAATGGGAGTGTGCATGGTCGGTTGTAAACAACAGCTGGGATAGGCTCCACTAACCTGAAATGGGAAAATGACAATCAAGCTGCAATGTGTCTGTTTGGTCTTTTTAGGACTGGTTTGGGGAGAGGGCGGGCATGGCTGCATTTAGCACTCATGGAAAAGACGATGGCTGACTATATGAAAGCCTTGCTAGACGGCAAAGATCTCCTGAGGTGAGTAAGGTCTGTGAGGTAGCTCTAAAACCAATTTCCAATGTTCTCGTTATTAACATGTTTGTGTCCTCCTAGTGAGTTTTATGACCCCGGAGCCCTGATGATGGAGGAGGAAGGGGCGGTGATGGGGGGACTGCTCGTGGGCCTCAATGTACTCGATGCGAACCTCTGTATTAAAGGTGAAGACCTGGATTCTCAGGTGAGCGACCCGCCCTCATCCCCGGTTAAGAATGACACCAGGACACACAGTGCTATTTTTTTCTGTTATCTAGGTGGGAGTCATTGACTTCTCCCTCTATCTGAAAGACTCGACCAGCACGGAGACCCCAAAAGAGTGAGTATCTGTTCACAAATCAAGAAACAGTGGAACCTCTGAAGGGAAACAAAATCAGTAACTCTCAAGTCATTTTCTCTTTTTTTTTCCTGTAATATTTTGACGTTAATTGTGTCAAAATGGCTTCCTCATAATACAGCTTTTATTTTCCCGCAAAACTTACAGTGTTGATGTTTTTCTTGTAATATGAATTTGTCATTTTGAATTTTAAATATTTTAGTTCCCGAGGAAACTTTTTCCTCATAATAGTTTGACATTCGGTTAAGTTACAGATGTCTGCCATGTAATATTCTGACTTAATGGTTGTTTCCTTTTGACTTTTCTTTCTCTTGACTTAATCTTGTTTTTCTGTTTCTTGTTATATTCTGAACCGTCGGCGGTAATGTTAATATTTTTTTTTCCTCGTACGATTACTAGTTTATTCCTTTTATTAAACTTGGGGGTTCTTATGCCCGCAATGTCACAACTTAACTTTCATAATTAATTTCCCCATAATATTTTGACTTTATTCAAGTATAACTTGAGGTTTTTCCCACAAACCTCCTTTTTGGAATGAACTCTTCTTCATCTTAATGTTACAACTTCAAAAATAAAATCTCTTCTATATGATGAAAAGTAAGCCCTACTACACTGATCTAAGTTCCCATCTCCAGAGCGTTGCCACCCATGTGCCGTTTGTGTCTCATGTCATGTCTTTTCAGTCACTCCAAGATGACCGCCATCTTGGATCAGAAGCATTACATTGAGGAGTTGAATCGTCACCTCAGTGGCACCGTCACAGACCTTCAGGCGAAGATGGACTCTCTGGAGAAAACCAACAGCAAACTTGTCGAAGAGGTCAGAAGTTGAAGGGGGTTTGCCAATGGGAGGGAATTGTGTCAGTGTTAGGCGGAAATGCACGACAGGGAGTCTTTGGGTTCGTGATGCCGACATGTTTCAAGGTTACTAATGTACACGCAGACATATAAATACACACATAAACCTATATACTTGTGTGTGTGTGTGTGTGTGTGTGTGTGTGTGTGTGTAAGTTTTTATCGGTCAAACTTAAAAACAAAAAGACAACAAAATTTCAATGTCAACAAAAATATCTCAAAAACCTGATGTGCAAGGAAACAGTTCAGACAGTTTTGAAATCGGCGTCAAAAATACATTTACGGACGCAGAAAGCCATGTCTAGTTCACATTTGCTGTTAGCCAGTGGAATTGCTCTCCATATTTTGTTCCTTTCCTTTGTAGAAGCGTACGTTGTCGAGCGCCATTTCAATCCAAGCCGTTATCTCGATTAACGTTCACTTAGCGTGCTGCAGGACAGATAATCCACATCGACAACCCAGGCAAACACTTCTGACCGTCGATTTCTCACGTAGCTCGCGGCTGCGACAGACAGAATCAACTCTCTGCGGGAAGAACAGGAGCAGCTGAGACAGGACAACGCACTGATATTGCTTGCCAGTCAGAAAAAGGAAGAGGTGAGAATGTAAATACTTCACTTACAAATGGCACAATAAACTTTTGTGGAGTGTTTTTTATTTTCTTTTCTTTTATTTTGGTTATTTATTTATGTGTTGGGTTTTTGCTTTTCCAGGCAGCACTTCAGGACAGCCAGGTGGAGCTGGAAACCTACAGACAAACCCGGCAAGGCCTGGATGAGATGTATAATGTCGTTTGGAAGCAGTTTAAAGAAGAAAAACGCATTCACCAGGTCAGGTATTGATCGTTAGTAGCTCTGAACGGTTTGGCTGAGCTTACATCGACATGTCGAAGCCTTGAACCCAAATAAGGGGAAATAAGCACGGCTTTTTCAGTGTTTAATGACATTGAATATAGCATGCACCTGAACTCCACGTTAACGTCCAGTCAGTTTTCCCATTTTATGACTGTATGGTAAGATGTGACAATGGCTGTTTGATTCTTCTTAAGTTATTCTTATTTTTGTTTGATGTACAGCAGGGGTGCCCAAACCTTTTGGACCGAAGATCGACTTTTCGATCAACCGACCTCCCGCGCACGCACATACACACGCATGCCACGATGAGCAACAGCCTGACACGGAAGCATGCAGCGCACTTTTGCAGCCTGTTAACTATCGTAGCTCACACATACCGTTTTAAAGTGCTTCCCTCGGCCCTCTAGATTCTTATTCTTTGCCCGTGCCCTCAGTGAATTGTACACGAAACAAAGTCTGAATGAGAATAATGATAACGATAAAAGATATAGCGCAACAAACAGCCTTGATCACAAGCTGCAATTGCAGACAGCTGAGCGCTAACAACTTCCGGTGACGCAGGTCACGCGCCACCGTAGGCTAAAGATTTAACTGCTTTATTTTATTTTATTTCTTTTTTTATACTTTTTGTGAAAATGAGATTGATAGGATGATTAGGGTGCAGTGTACATTAACACAAAAATGTATTACTAACATGCACAAAGACATACAAATGGTTGGTTGGTTTTTTTCTCCTCGACACCCCTCGCGATCAACTTGGGACCAATCCGCGAGCTACCGGTCAATCGCGATCGACGTAATGGGCACCCCTGATGTACAGGATAATAATAACTCAGTAAATATTTAAAACTCATTTTATATTGGGCATTATGTAGAGCCCGACCAATAAGGATTTTTTTTTTTTTAGGCCGATGCCAATTCTGATATATGCAGAATAAAGCCCTCCTAGTAAAAATATGTGTATAATGAATAAAATCACATCTTTTTGGTGCCTTGCTGCTTCCCAGTACAAGAATAAAGAGTAAATAAACAGTACAGCGTTCCCTCACCACTTCGCGGTTGGATTATTGCAGATTCGCGGATTTATGACCACAACTTCATATCGGGCAGCTTTACCTTTCTGTTTTCTAGCTATTGAGTCGGACAATTTGAAAAATGTTAATCATGAAAAGTGAGCGACCACTTTGTCCTTCAGTATTTGTCTAACATTACAGAGAGATTTTTTTTTTTTTAATGCGGCCAACGTTTGAATCTCAATATCTTTGTGTTATGTTGTATTATGACAATATGTCGCCAGTGAAGCTAATATTGGCTGGCCAATTAATTGTTGGGCCCTAATATTTTATAATGTCATTAGAATTTTTTTTTTTTTTTTTTAAACATGCTCCAAAAACAAACATGACAAGAAAAATCATCTGGTCTTATTAAGACTAAATACAAACTTCCATGTAAACACAGCATAAAGTAAAGTGCATCTTCTCTCCTGTGTGATTTTTGAGAAAGACGCGTAATGGTTCTGACATCACTGTTTCATCCAAAAGGTGATTCGATTGTATTGCGGCGTCTGAAATCTCACCTGTTGGCAATGTTTAGGAGCTGGAGCGAGAGCTGGAGCTGCAGTTGGGGCTGAAGCAGGAGATGGAGATGGCCATGAAGCTCCTGGAGAAGGACTCGCATGAGAAACAGGACTCACTGGCTGCCTTGCGACTCCAGCTGGACCAAGTCAAAGCTCTGAACCTTCAAATGTTCCACAAAGCTCAGGTACGTGGTCGTAATCACACCTCAACTGAGACACACAAGACACATTTTGACTAGTTCTGGGGCTCTGCAGGACTTTGAACGAGAGGCGGCCAAAAAACAGGCAGAGGCCGAACAGCTGGAGACAAAGATGGACGACATGACGAAAGCTATGACAGAACTTGAGCGGAGGTACATTTTGTGCATTGATCACATTGACGATGACGATTGAAGCTCATGAACGGATGTGCTTTTTAGGCTTCAGAATTCAGAAAAGGATCGTAAGAAGAGCGAGCAGTCAGATAAAGACTTGAGGGTTGAGCTGGAGGGAAAAGTGAATGCTCTCGAGAAACAACTGAGTGACCTGGACGCACTGAGGTACACGCGCTTCATCCGTCGTCGTACGGTGCAGAGCAGGGTGATGATAGTTTCATAGTTTTCATTCCTTCGTTTTTCTTTTGTTTCGACAATTGGTTTTCGAATACAATTGAGGTTCATTAGTTGTGACCATGACGTTATTTCATTCTTTTTTTTTTTTTCTTTTGTAAGCGCTAATAATCTTGGTGCCGATACGATCAAACTGGCGTACAACCGTTTATGCTTCAAGAATTGAAAATCGAATGTGGATGAAAGAAACTATACTGTAAGACTTTGATCTGTGTTCATTTTCGCTGGCAGTGTATGAATCTACACTGTTTTAAGATGGACAGTTTGCTCACAACCAAGACATTTAACTTGGACTTAAGAGTGTTGTCTTCTGTGTGGTCAGGCTGGGTTTGGAGAAGGAGCTTCTGGTTGAGAGGCAACAGCGACAAGGCCTACAGAAAGCCCTTCAGAGGGAGCAGGACAACAGTGCTGAGCTTCGCACCCAACTACAACAACTCCAAGGACTGCATGCCGTTAGTAATTCCGCAGTTTTATCTATCAGTGTACTGGATTTGATTGATGGTGCACGACGGGGATTACGTTTTACTGCAAGGTAAAAAAGAAAGGTCCAAATGTCCAGTGGAAAATAGCACTGTCAGAGACACTGCAACGCGTTTGAATTCAAGACGGTTGGCCATTGTGTGGGGTTCGACAACTAGTTTTCATCAATGGTCGGCTGTCGGCCACTAGTTGTGCTGCATTTTAAAATTGAATTACGGGTGAACGGCGCTGCAATGTCACAAATGTGACAGACAATCGAAATTGCCATGTCGTATCCCAAAACTACGTTACTGGGTATGAAGTGATCACCTCCTCCCAAACTGTACCAATACCATATTTTCAGAATGTTTGTATCAGTAGTGTTTTGCAATAATACTTATCTATAGTTCTAATTTCACACGTACCTGTGGCTGTAAACCGAAGCGTGGAGATTCTTTTGCCAAAATACACAAGCACAGTCAACGGTCGGGGTTGACAATTGCCGAGAACCTCTCAAATAGCCACACTCTCACTTATTTCCTCCATATACATTAGGGGTCACCAACCTTTTTGAAACTAACACGAAGGGCTACCAGTTTGATATAGGCACTTTTGAAATACATTTCCTCGAACTACCTTCATGTGTGATCATTAATGATTCATAATGATATTTATGTCTGAGAAGACACCAATCACATTAGCGATTTCTCACCATAATTATTCATTCATTCATTTTCCAATCCGCTTATCCTCACAAGGGTCGCGGGGGGGTGCTGGAGCCTATCCCAGCTGTCTTCGGGCAGTAGGCGGGGGACACCCTGAACCTGTTGCCAGCCAATCGCAGAGCACACAGAGACAAACAACCACCCATGCTCACAGTCACTCCTAGGGACAATTTAGAGTGTTCAATCAGCCTGCCATGCATGTTTTTGGAATGTGGGAGGAAACCGGAGAAAACCCACGCAGTCCCAGGGAGAACATGCAAACTCCACACAGGAAGGCCGGAGCTGGAATTGAACCCGGTACCTCTGCACTGTGAGGTCGACGCGCTAACCACTGGACCACCGGGCCGCCCCACTATAATTATGAAACAGATAAATATCAATTGGCCACACTTGATTCAAAATATCTGCCATTGTTCACATTTTGAAATGATCGCTTCTCCAATTTTCCTGGAGAGTCACAGTGTCTAATCACTGGTGAGCTATTTTTGGAGTAGGCCTGCGCACTACTCATGTCATCCTTGAGGGCTCCCTGGTGCCCGCGGGCACCACGTTGGGGACCCCTTTATGTAAATGGTTTAGGATTTAGCTACAGCAGCCAGAGCTATCCACTTCTTCCTTGACAATCATGCTATCTTGATTGTGGTTCGATACATGTGGTTTAAAATAATTGTGATAAATTATACCATTAATAATTGTTACAAATAATTATTTTACTTGTTCAGTTTTAAGAGTCAGACTTTTTTTTTTTTTTTTTTTTTTAGATTAACTGCCCACAGAGTGAAATGTAGTATTTCCTGATTGGATTGGATTTTTAAAAATAATTTTGATTATTCTAGTTTACAGCTTACAAAAATGCCAAATTCACCACCTCAAGAAATTAAATATTATCCAAGAACCACTCAAAATATATTTTATTTAATGTAGAAATTATGTTAGAATTGGCGCCGTGACTGTTTCATGTATTTATTGAATGTGTAAATTATGACTTGAACTTTTTGAACAACTGAGATAAATGACCTTTTTTACGATACCCTAATTTTGTGAGATCCACCAGTATACAGTATAGAGAAAATAGTAATAGAAAACACAATAGAAAGGCATTTCTGACCACAATTGGCGACACTTCGATGACGTCTATTAAAACAAAATTGCGATAGTCTGTTTCTTGTAGATTGATGGACTGCTTAATATGTGTAATATTTATTTGTTTATTTTTTAATAGGAACTGCAGGATCTGAAGCAGGAGAAACAGCAGCTGCAGCAGACATGTGAGCAGCAGGAGCAGGCTTTGCAGGAGATGGGGCTTCATCTCAGCCAGTCAGTGTTCATTCAAGTTGACCATTTTCGTTATTGTTGCCACTTGCCAGTAGTAACACGATACGTCATCTTATCCCATTACTTTTCTCGAAGGTCGAAACTCAAGATGGAGGACTTTAAGGAGGTTAACAAAGCCCTGAAGGTAAAATGGGAAGCATACAGTACTTCAGTATATATTTGAAACAATGTGAAATGCTGATCGTTCCTTGCAGGGCCACGCCTGGTTAAAAGATGACGAGGCCACTCAATGCAAGCAATGCCAAAAAGAGTTTTCGATCTCCCGAAGAAAGGTAATTTAGTTTTTGTTTTTTAATGCATTCAGATTGAACCCAAGGATTCCAGTGTGCTCGTTTTTGTTTTTAGCACCATTGCAGGAACTGCGGGGATATTTACTGCAGCACTTGCTCCAGTAACGAGCTGCCTTTACCTTCGTATCCGCGTCCCGTGCGGGTCTGTGACATGTGTCACTCCTTGTTGCTGCAGAGGAGTTCATCCAAATCTTCCTGACACAACACTGACCATTGGCGTCTCACGCTACACAAACAAGATGATTAGCCACGTTTGTTTATGAATGTCAATTTGGTGTTACAGGTATATCTCATCTTTCGACCTGAAATTCAGCAACATTACATGCTTTTCATACTCTTTCGCTGGGCAAGACTGAACTCTTGTACTCTTTTCTATTACTTGTGTAGGTATGCTGGAATTTTTTTCCCCCAGAATTGTCTTTTTATTTTGGTATTATTCACATTGTGGTGCACTAACACTGCAGTAGCAAAGTTTACACCAGTGTTGCATCTTTGCAAATTGTGTATAGAATGATAAATCTATTTTAGAATGTATTAACAAACTGCTAAAAAAAATAAATAAATAAAGGGAACACTTGGCGGTATATAATGTTGCTCAGTGTTCCCTTGATTTTCTTGAGCAGTTTTACCTGGTGGATTGTGTACACTCTGAAGATGTTTTCTATAATCAGAGGAAATACATATTTTTAACTTAATATTTAATAAATGAATACAATTTGCAATGTTTCCTTGACTGTCCAACTACTTTATTCACTTTGCTCACAGAAAATACAAATAGCATTACAGGCAGAAGACAGGTCATGTAATGATTCCAGATTTACTTAGTCCCGATGGTTCCCGTCAAGAAAAACTGCCTTCTAACTGGTCACACCTTAAACATGCTGCAAATGTCAATGCACAATTTTGATTTACATTGCACCACTGTAAATTAAACCACTGTTGTAAAACGAGAGCAACAATGTCTAAAACCTTAGATTTGTTCGTGCACTCTGACATACAAAATGTGGTAAGACACCAGCAACACGGGATGAGTTGTATAGGGTGTCTGGAGAATAAACAGCAAATTGTGGTCATAAAAATGGAGCAGAATGGGTGACAACTGTGAGAGCAGACAATCTCTATCCTGTTTTAGGATCATGCATTCGTAAAAAAATTACAAACCCCACCCATCAATATGTTCACAACCTCACCTTAACCTTTGTGTTTACTTATGGATGAGACATATCTGGCCATTGCAACAAAATGCAGAGTTAAAAACAAATCTTCAGAAAAAAAAAACTAAACAGCACAACTGTGGTTTAAAAAAAAAAAAAAAAAAAAAACAGACTACATTCCCCATCCCCCACCAAGTCCATTCATTGAGCTTCTGCTACTGCCTCCTCCGCCACCGCCACCATAGTAACTGCTTCCCATTCCGCCCTGGTTACCTAACAAGAGAGAGAAAATACACAATATAGGACCGCACAGTTCCAAGGTGATTTTAAAAAAAAAAGTTTTGGGGGTCCAGGGCAAATGCTATGGCACTCACTATAATCACTGTAGCCACCCATGTTTCCTTGGCTGCTGTATCCACCAGAATAGCCTGAGCTCAGCTGGCTGCCACTGTAAGACGATTGGCTCCCTATGAGGAAGAAAATGGATCAAAAATTATCTTCTGTTGTATTTTCAACAAACCAATCAGAAGGTTTGACTACGATGAACTGGCCCGGAGCGGCCCATTTGTAGCACCGTCAAAGTTCCCCATGGTCTGCCAGACGGCACGATTGAATCACAAAAAAACACAGCATCTAAGCTCCCTTGAAACTGCCCTAATTTATTTACATCAACAGCTTTTAAGATTTACAATTAATTTGAATGCAAATTTTAAATGAAACTCTAGAAAACGCAATATGATTCATAGTCAATTTCGATGAAAATCGTTACTTTCTCCATTGCAAACAAAAGCCCTTGTCATACCGTCTGCAGTCATGGGTTCATAAAATTAAATCCACACGTAACCAGAAGCTTCCTCAACACATTCAAAATACAAGCAGGAACAAATCTAAGTAAAACGCAGCGTTTAGAAGTGAAGAATTAAGACGGCTGGGATAGGCTCCAGCACACCTGGGACCCTTGTGAGAATAAAGCAGTTCAGATGATGGATAAGAGATTTGTGTGACTGTTCTTTTTAGATTGGAATGAACGGGCCATCGATCGTGTTGGCTGTCATTGACAACTCATCACATTGTTTGGCTGTGACTAGCAAAGGAAAAATTGGTGCCTGAGAAAGAAGTACACTCTGAGACGAAAGCAAATAAATGGCAAATAAAATGGCATTTGAGTAAATTAAGACGAGCAAAATGTTAGGTGTTTTTTTACTTTGACTTGATCATGCTTGTAATACGACGGTGTTGAGCAAGGTTCTGGATTGTGTGTGCATTTTTTTCCCGCCCATGAAACCCAGACTGTGGCTGGGATGAGAAACTATGACTTCGAGTTACAGAGGGGGTTACGAGCATGAGCCCACTGCACATTTGCACGCCTACTGCACATACCCGTCAACTAAAGCGGACTGGTGTGAGCTATTAAACTCCAGGACCGATAATCAGTCCGAGTCCAGCCCCGACTAGGAGCCATACTCACCCCCTATCATCTGGCTGCTGTAGGCGCCGTTACTGCCACCTGCTGTTGAGTTTAAGAACAGCTCCACATAGCGATGCTCTGAGGGGCGCAGAGAGACGACTATTAAGGAACATTTCTACGCTTTGGGAGTTTTTGAGGTCGCCAGGGTCAGTTCTGCCAAACTCACGCATGTTGGCTTTGTCTTTGGACATGGCGGCCACCGCATCCTCGTGTGTTGCAAATTCAACATCGGCCTCCCCGGTCACCCTGCCATCGGGGCCGACCTCAATATGAACCCGCACCGGATTCAACGGGGAGAAGAACTGCCACAAAGCAAAGGAACCGCGCTTCAAAAACAGTGCATTCTTGAAAGATGACGACCAAGGGGTTTGCAGTCACGTAATTTGTCCTTTGCTAAGTCAACTCGGCCTTACAATGTAGATGTCCGACTCAGTGGCTCTGTAAGGAAGCCCCCTCATATGGACACAGTGGCCCGTTGTGCTCTGGAAAGACGAGCCGCCGCCGTCGTTGTACCGGCTGTCCGAAACGCCTGAATATATATCAGCGAGACGGACTCGTTTTAGGAGGAATTTTTTTCTAATGGCATTACTACTTGTCTGCCATTGTGGCATGAATGGAGAGAATGCTGCAACAATTGATCACCAAATCGGATTTCACTTCTTCGTCCACTCGACACACCTCCTCCATATCCTCCGCGGCGCAATCGGTCGTAGGAGCCACCTCGGTTCATCATAGTGTAGCCGCGCCCACCAGAGGGTCGGTCATACGGCCCCGGTCTCTGCATGCTCATGGGTTTCCGCTGGGGCTCGTAATGAGTTCGCACCTCGGCGCGGCTACTCTTGAAGATCTCAATGTACCTGACGTGCATAGAAAGGCCACAATGAGGGAACAAGGAAAGGTTAGCGGCGGGCATTGCTTATGCAGAAACTGCCTTGGTGTAGCCCGTCACAATAATACAGTATTTGGCTTAGGCTATGTTAATTGAAATGGAAGTTTAACTGCAAAAAAAAAAAAAAAAAAAATCTTGCCAAATTGAAAAGACTTTTCTTATGGTTACCTAGATTTACTTAGAACTCAAAAATCAGATGCCCTGTACTGTTGCCGTGGCAGCCATTGTCCTGGTTTTAGCGGGGCAGCGTTACCTGTGAAGGTGGGCTCCGAGTCGTTGGCCTCCGGGGATTATCCTTACCAATGCAAACCACTACACATCAGTCTGCTACTGACATACCATTTGGTGCCATAATTTGTCAATGTGCTCAATTTCATTTTACAAACAGGTTTCCATGGAACAATGTGTTGCATTCTGTCATGAAGGTTAGTGTGTTTGTGGGACAAATTACAAAAGTCAATGTGACAGTGAGTTCATGTTGAGGGTGCACACCATAAGAAAAGCAATGTTTCCAGCCAACCAACCAACCATCCCCACCTGTGCCCTATTCTTTCCTTGTGTTTCTTTAGAGCCTTTTCAGCTATATCCTGTGAAGCAAACTGCACGAAGGCCTCCCCCGTACTCCTCCCCTGGATGTCCACCGGCAATGTTATCCCATTTGGCACGATTTCCAACCCTTCAACCCAAGGACAGATAACCCCAGCGGGGAACATATTAAATCACATGCCCAATCACACAAAGAAGTGTCTCTAAGAGAGAGAGAGAGAGAGAAAACTTATGGAACACTCTAAACATCATCACACATACCAGTTGAGTTGTAAAGCGGCCACTGGCAATTTTGAACAAATTATAAGTGTAAGAAACGATGAGGAATGGGAAGAGGGACGGAGAAGGGCACATTAGACGAGTAAGGGTGCGTTGATGAGGAGACAATCTGGCAGGTGACATGAATTTAAATTACTCTTGACCCATTGTGTGTTACCTCAAGATTGTCACGTTCATTCTAAGGCTTTAAAGCCAAAATGCAAGAAATGGGGGTGAGTGGGGGAGGGGCTCACAGTGCAAGGATGATGAACTAAATGCAGGAGTGTTAAAGCGGACGTCAATACCAATTTTTCTTTTCCTTCAGTATCTTTGTGTGCCCCCCACTAGTCTAAACACGCTATTCTGATTAATATTGTGTTTGTGGAATAAGAACTAGGTGGAAAAGAACACCCGTGTTTATACACCTCAGGAGGCGGCCAGTTTGTCCCGTGCTGCTACCTGCTGTCAACTGGAATTGCCTTCACAGGGCTAACCTGTTCTCTGGGTTTGCGACAGAGGAGCCTGAAGGCCTTTGACGACAATTTCAGTCAACAGCGGAGGGCAGGGTAGAATGTCCAAATCTCTGCCCACTCGCATCGATGAAAATGGTGAGATTAGTTTGCTTCATTCTTATTCCGCAAACGCAGTATCAATCAGAATACAGAGAATATATATTACTCCAAAGAAAATGTTTGACATGAGTTCCGCTTCAAGTCAATGAGACTGTCTTTAATTCGAATGACGGCAAAACAACTGCGAGAGGGAGGAAAGACATTATTCTCCGTGACTTAATTGAACAATATGGTAACTAGAGGCTGAGGAACTAAGTGATTATCCGCAGGGGTCACCAACATGGTATCCTGTGGGCATGTTCTCAAAGTAGCTCAAAAATGATGGGACACTGTGATTTCCAGGGGAGTAGTGTACAAAAGATCATTTGAAACTAAACACTTTAAGTGTTGCATGTTGCTATTTAACTGTTTCCAACCTTGATCATTGTGAGAAATCCTTCACATAATCGTCTTCATTTACATTATTGTTATTATTATTGTAATATCATTCATTTTTGAGAAATTATTTTTTTGTGAAAAATAGGCCAGTTTTGGCATTTTTCCCCATTACAACAGCAGACAATATTAACTTCAACCACCCCATAAAGATTGTAGGATTTTTACCCATGTAATACTAAGTATTGTCAAACGTCAAGTGTTAAGACTGTAATTCATATCTTTAGTGATCTGACTGTAATTCATATCTTTAGTGATCTAAGTGTTCAGGAATGCAAAAAACAACACAATTTATTCCTTATATAAATATGTTTTAATTGGCTGATTAATCGGTTATCAGAAATGTGTTCTGCCAAACATTAAAATCAACATCGGTCTTTATTTTAATTGTTTTTAATTTAAAAAATAATAAATCGGGCAGACCTGAAATATAACATGAAGGCATGAAGGCAATTTGAACTATTTCAGAAGTGCGTAAAAATTTGAAGCCATTCTGCATTATCAGTACCCAGGAGGTAGATATCAAATTTCCTCCAAAAAGTTGGTGACCCCTGGATTATCACTTTGACGATGTGCCGGTACGCTTCGATTGATAAAAGGTCACATTGTCTTAAATCAAACAATGTGGAGTGTTGTTTTCAAATTGCAGGTAGGTGTCCATTTACACACTGTGGATAATTTGTTTGTATGGCTTGACTAGTTAATGATGGCAATTTATAGGAGGAAAGGACAGAGCGGGACAGACGAGGCATTCAGTTTGCTCTACTGGTGTAGATTGCTGTCCTTTACTCTAATTGCCCCACGGGGATAAATAAAGTTTTCTGAATCTGAATTTACTGAAATAAATTAACTGGGGTTGCAATTATCAATTACAATCATCATGAATCTGTGGATTATTTTTCTCTAGTAATCATTAGCTGTATGTTAAAATATGTTGAAAAAAATGTTTGCGAAAGGTGCCTTTTGTCCGCAATCTAAAGATATTGAATCGACTGTGACGGAAGTGCAAAGAATCTAGAAAATATTCACATTTGACTATCTTGAATCTGAGAAACAAATAAAACTACTCAAAGAGCTCAATTTATGATGAAAATGGCTCAACATTCATTTAATATTTAAATCATTGTTGTAGCTTTAATCGTAATAAACAAAATGGAGGGCAATGTAAGGGGAACAAAGGGATGGGGACAAAAGAACAAAAAAAAAAAAACAAAGGATACCGGCACATCTCGTTTGCATAACAGTCCTGCCCTTGCCTGAAGCAAAGCTATTAATTATTTGGAGCTTCTTTCCGGTGTCATTAATCACTGTTATTGTTTTGTTTGATTTTAAGAGATCCATCTCATTATTGGAAGAATGAACGAGATTAATATACCGGGGTAATTATTCCTCAGCATCGGGGAGGGGGGGGGCTTGGAATTGTAAAACACATGAATTGGTCAGTGTCTACAAGGGAAACAATTAAGGACGACTGGAGGGAAGATCAAAATACTATCAAAAAATATATTTAAATTCAAATAAAAAATTTAATGAAAACTGAAAAATTCTATAGACACAGATAAAGAAAACTTCTTACCTGAGAAAAACTGGACGATCTCCTCTTTGCTGCAGCCAAAGGGGAGGCCCCGTAGTCGCACAAGACCATCTCCTGCTGTCTCTGGACAGTTTGGACCAGTGTGCTTCATGACCCAGTCCATCTCCACATTGTTTGATTTAAACACTGTTGTTAAAACACAAAACAATCACGCAAATACAATCGCAGCGTGATTTGCTCAAAATGATTTGCTCCCCACATTTAATTAAAATCAACTCCAAAAGCTCAGATGTGGAATTAATTGACAAAGACGAAAATGCATGACATTCTCATTATAATTCTAGATGAGTTTTATACATGTAAACTGAAGTTGCAGTAACTTACCTTTTTTAATACTTTTTTTTATATTTCATGAACAAACATGTTTTTCTTTTTACTTGGTAGTTTTATTTCTTTTGTCTATTTTCATCTTGCTGCTATCTAGGGGTATTCACGGCACTTTTCGATACTGTACAGTAGCCACCTGAAAAAAATGTCGCTCTCCAAGTACAACCATTATGACCAATATTAAAATATAACTGCAAATAAGCCAAAGTATCATCAAAAACGAGACAGAGCTTTATTCCTAAAAAGAATATGCAATAGTATGCGTATGTGGAACTGGGAGTGGCGGCTTGGAATTGAGGCGGATTTACATGGGACATGAGATGTGAGTCACTCTCTTTTTCGTCAATGGACGCTACAGCTTCTTGTTTGGTTTCAAACTTTCTCTCCTCTTCCATCGCAAACTGCTTTAAACAACAAAGCGTATGGGGGACAAGTGGTTAGAATTGCACGACTGTCCGTGTTTTATGTTATGTGTTGTGTTTATTATTTTACTTTGTTAACTGTTTTGTAAAGCGCTTTGTTACAGCTGAAGCTGTTGTGAAAGCGCGATATAAATCAGGATGTATTGTAAACTTAGCTTGTAGCAGACGTGTGCACATTTTCAACATAATCCACTGGTGAAAGGACACTTTGATCATCTATAACTGCTTCAAACACCAAAGTGTATGCAGAAAAGTGGTTAAGATTGAATGACTGTCTGTGTCTTATGTGTTGTATTATTTTGTTATTATGACTTCAAGATGGCGCCGCGAGAGTCTGCCTTTACAGCAGCTCCTATACTTTTTGTTCTTCTACTTTCTTCTTTTCATAACTTGGCTTTCCTTTATACTTTTTTTTATATTTCACGAGACACTTGGGGTGGAGGTTCCTGCAAAATCTCGTAACAAGTGTGCAATGACAATAAAGTATTCATTCATTCATGCTGCTGTAAATTGGGAATGTCTCCATTGTGAATAAAGGTTTTCCTTATTCTTACATGCAGTACCTAAAACAAACGGGAATAAAAGTGAAAGTCAAATGTTTTCTTTACAACAATATGGTCGACGCGTCCCAATTAGTCTAAACACGGTATTCAGATCAATGTTGCATTTGTGGAATATGAATTCATCAGACAAATTCACCCGTTTTTATCCATCTCAGGGGGTGGCCGCTACCTGAGCCCTTCGGGACTATGATGTCATTTTCAGGTGACAGCAAGTGACAGTAAGAAGAAAACAGGCCATCCGCTGAGATCCGTAAAAACGGAGGGACTTTTCTGTTTAATTCATATTCCACAAACGCAATACAGTAATAATCTAAAAACCCTGCTTAAGACTCGTAGGGGCTCATAGAACACATCGTAAAGAACATGAAGATAAGGTACTAAAATGTTAAATAGGACTGAACTTAGGTTGTTGTTCAATCCTAAATTACCAGAGGGAGCCCATGTACCACTAGTGGAACTAGTACAGCAATGAGAATGAGGACAAATAAAGGTTATCTTATCTTATTAGTATCACTGCTGAACATAATTGACATACATTTTTTTAAGCTTACATAATCAGAGATGAAAGTGGACTTTTCTGAAAATTCCGGAATGAATCATATATATATATATATATACATACATACATACACACACACGCACGCACGCACGCACTTGGCCGATCACGCATGAATTAGTTTACACAAAACGCTATTCAAATACTCGACATTCAATGATTAATCTTCCTTTTGTGTGCACACGTGTACCCTTTGTGGCTTCCGTTCGGGC